GACCCCTTTAAAAGTGCCCAGCAATTTCACAATCTGCACCATGTGAATGCCCAGACGTTGCGCCTCCGTTTCAAAATCACCAGGGAACAAGCCAGGGACATCGTTAGAAATTGCCCACTTTGTGTAATCTTTTTATCTTTGCCACATCTTGGGGTCAACCCCAAAGGCCTACTTCCAAATGATATATGGCAAATGGATATTACGCACGTTCCAGAATTTGGCAACCTAAAATACATCCATGTCACAGTAGATACCTGCAGTGGCTTCATCCTCGCCACACTTCAAAGTGGTGAAGCCACCAAAAATGTGATTGCTCATGTTCTCCACTGTTTTACAGTTCTGGATAAACCTAATGTCTTAAAGACAGATAACGGCCCTGGATATACTTCTCAGGCCTTTAAAACCTTTTGTCTTCAAATGCATATCAAGCACATCACAGGAATCCCGTATAATCCACAAGGCCAGGGCATCGTAGAAAGAACTAATCAGACCTTGAAAAATACCATAAACAAACTTAAAACCACAGATCTCTACCCCACCAAAGGATCACCGCGTAATCTCCTTAATCATGCTCTATTCACTCTAAATTTCCTACAACTTGATGCTCAGGGGAAATCGGCAGCCGATCGTCATTGGCACCAAAAAACAAATGACCAATACGCGCACGTCATGTGGAAAAATCCCTCAACGCTCAAATGGCAGGGCCCTGACCCGGTCCTCATATGGGGATGCGGTTCGGCCTGTATCTATGACTCTCAAGAAGGGGGGCCTCGATGGCTGCCTGAACGCCTAATCAAACCAATAAATCCTCCCAAGGAAAATAACTCACTCAACCCAGGGAAAAATCCCTGAGAAAACCTTTTCCTTTTCTCCCTTACAGACAATGAAGCCCTGCCTCCTCGTCCTCTTTACATACGCCTTCTGTGCACACGCCGGTTTTGGACCCCCCCCCAAATCCTCAAGAACTCAAAAGGGCCCTTTTTGGAAATCCCTGCAATTGCAAAGGCGGTATGTCCCCAATCACTCCCCCCTCCTATTCCCGGTAAGTTGACTGCAACACGAAAATAGCCTATCTTGCCTACACTCACACATATTCAGGGATATCAAAGCAACAATGGACCTGCAAATCCAAACCCGCAATCATTCCTGCCACACAGGGTCGCCCTGGGCCTTGCCCTACACAGTGCACCTCTATTCTTCCGGCAGTCCATGTCACTTGTTATACTTCTGCTCAATTATGCACCCTCCATGGTCAAACCTACTATACTGCTATTTTAGAAAGAACCTCTCCGCGTCCCTCTGGCAGTGTCTTTGAGAGAGATCTTAAATATTCTCAGGCATCCTGTCTAGGTACTGTTGGCAAAAGTGTGTGCTGGCATACCGTTGCCCCGGTTCATGTATCAGATGGAGGGGGCCCCAGCGACATTCAAAAACAAACTCTTGTTGCCCAACACATCCAAGAACTGACCTGACAGTTATACCCTCACTTAGACTACCACCCACTCGCCCTTCCAAAACCCAGAGACATTACCTTGGATCCATACACACAGGGAATCCTCGAAGCCACTCTCTCTCTAGTAAACTCCACTAACCCCTCCCTTGCACAGGACTGCTGGCTATGTATAACCATTGGTATGCCTCTACCTACTGCCATTCCTGTCTTAAACGCTTCCTATGTCCCTTTCAATGGAGATGCCAGTTGCTCATTATCACCCCCCTTTCAGAGTACAGCCCTCGGGTTTCAATTCCTCCGGTTGCTTCCAAGGGAAATTTCAAAATAATTCTTATGATAGTGACGTCGGATTTGTCACCTTTTCCGATTGTCATACTGTAACTAACGTTTCCACCTCCATCTGCCCCCCTCCAGGACAAGTGTTCATTTGTGGGGGCAACCTTGCCTACACCATGCTCCCTTTCAATTGGACAGGCCTCTGCGTTACAGCTAGCCTTCTCCCCGACATCTCTATCATCCCCGGGGATGAACCTGTCCCTCTCCCTAGTCTTGACCTTATAGCGGGACACCACCGGCGTGCTCTCCAAGCCATTCCCCTACTTCTAAGCTTGGGGGTTACAACCGCTGTAGCCTCCGGCGGAGCGGGGATAGGGGTCGCTGTTAATACCTATAATAAGTTGTCTCGTCAGTTAATTGATGATGTTCAAACTCTCTCTGGAACTATTAATGATCTACAAGATCAAATTGATTCTTTAGCTGAGGTAGTTCTACAAAATCGCAGAGGATTAGACCTATTAACTGCAGAACAGGGAGGAATCTGTTTAGCTTTACAGGAACGATGCTGTTTCTACGCCAACAAGTCTGGCATCGTCCGAGACAAAATCAAGAAATTACAAGAAGACCTCATCAAGCGAAGAAAAGAATTGTTCGAGAACCCGCTTTGGACCGGACTTAATGGACTCCTCCCTTACCTCCTCCCTGTCTTGGGCCCCCTCTTTTGCCTCCTTTTGCTCATAACCTTCGGTCCCTGGGCGTTTCGCCATTTTACTAATCTTATCAAAAGACAAATTGATGCTGTCCTCTCTAAACCTATCCAAATCCATTACCAACGGCTGGCATTGGAAGAAGGCACGGAAAAAGACTACTACGGCTCCCTCCCTACGGGGACGACATGATAACCAGAGGCATGTCTACCCTCTCCCTTTACGAGAAACAGGGTATGAGCATCGGGATGAGTGTAGAACAAAGTATTACAAGGGAAGGTCACAAAAACTTCGACCTCCTCTGGGTATCCCTGTGAACACACCTGGCTTGCATAGAGGTTGGTATCTAATTTTCTAATTTTCTCAAAAATCAATTCTGGCTCTGCCTCTCCTCCCCAAAAGATACCAAGAGCCAATGGTGGTGGACTCGGAGAATCCACGGGAGGAGCCGGGCCCCTACTCCCTCACCCGGTTAATGCTCACCATCCCTTCTGTCTTTGAACAGAAAGGGAGGAGATGTTGGGAGCCATTTTAAAAATAGCAGCCATCTTATATAAGCCTTCTTCTTTGTCCTCCGAAAAGCCCGCGCGCGCCAAACCACAACACCCCTCCACCTCCTCTCCTCATACCACCACTACTTTTCCTCCTATCATAAGCCGCCACACGCCCAATTTCAGCCCGCCCTCTTTGCTATGTA